TTTAGGGTTTAGGGCTTAGGGTTTAGGGTTTAGGGTTTAGGGTTTAGGGTTTAGGGTTTAGGGTTAAGGGTTCAGGCTTGGGGTTTAGTGTTTAGGGTCTTAGGGTTTAGGGTTTAGGGTTTAGGGTTTCTACTACTACTACTACTACTACTACTACTACTACTACTATTACTACTCCTACTACCACTAGTGCTACTACTTCTACTAGTACTACTACCGCCACCACCACCACATGGGGCATTAGGTTGGCAACGGGGGCTGGAGGTCGCTAGAAAGAAACGGCAGGACACTGTCTTCTAGCTTGTTGTGTCTAGCAAAGACATGCGGTTCCAAATGCGACACAAAACGTTATCCCTTGGCACCTTCATGGCTTCGGACTTCTTCTGCTTTCTCTCGGACTCTTTCTCCTGCTCAGCCTGCTTGCGTTGCTTAGCCTCCTCCCTTTCCTTTTCTTTCAGAGCTTTGTCTTCCTCCTTCTTCTTTTCCCTGGCTGCCTTGGCTTCCAAGTCCTTGGCTGTTTCCTTTTTGCTCTTCTTGTCCTTTCGGCCCTTCTTGTCCTTTTTGCCCTTCTTGGCCTTTTTGCCCTTCTTGCCCTTTTTGCCCTTCTTGTCCTTTTTGCCCTTCTTGCCCTTTTTGCTCTTCTTGCCCTTCTTGGTACTGCTCGACGAGCTGTCGTCAGAGCTGTCGTCAGAGCTGTCGTCAGAGCTGGCCGAGGAGGAGCTCGAGCTCTTGCGTTTCTTCTTCTTCCCACTTCGCGATCGCCTGCTCGACCCAAAAGCCTCGTCCTGTGTGAGGGCAAAGAGGGACTCGAGCACTTCGTCATGCTCGTCACTTTCGGCCTCTTCGTCCCACACTCGGAACAGCGTGAGCTGCTCATTCAGCGGAGCATCTGCATGCGGTTTAACATCCTGCTTCGCCGTAGTTTCGTCTGACAGCTTGTTGGATATGATCTCCTCCGCTGCTTCCTTTGATTGATACTTATCAATCAGCTGCCGGAAAGTGAGCCATTTCCGGCACCCCCGCCTCTTGGTGGAGTGGCGTTCCCTCAGAGACAGCACCAGGCTCGAACGACTCCATTTGCCTTCGCAGGCAGTGTACTGCTCATACAAGATGGCCATCTTGTCTCGGCCTGGATTCGAGTTCCTTCTTAATGATCTACGAATTATGAATGCAGGAAAAGACCTAGACTCTAGATCCAATTCCGTGATACATCTTTATTTAAGATATATGTTTCTAAAGAAGTCTGTCTTGACATATACTATATCTAGGACTTGGCCCTACTGGGAAAGAACCCCTCAGCAGCGAAGGAGCAGCCCCTGGCGCTCTCCGCTGCCATGCGAATCTCCTCCGGGCTGTTCGAACCTGGGCATGACCAGATACAGGTAATCAATTCTCAGTGCAAGGTAGACAGTCTGAATAGGCATGTTATCTTATATTTCGAAATATGCAATAAATCCTGAACCCTCAATCCTAAACCCAAAACCCTCAAACCCTAAAGCTCTACTCTAAACCCCAAACCCTCTAAACCCTGAATCCTAAACCCTACACCCAGGAACCTTCAGACCGGATGTACCCACCTCGGGGTAGTTTGGAGTGGTAGGATAAGTCCGATGTCCTCAACCCAACATGGGATCCTGAAAGGGTTTAGGGTTTATTTTTGCAGGATTTGGGGGTTAAAGGTTTTACGGGTAGCGTGGCTATGAGAGGCTACCCTTGCAAGCAAACTAGATCGAATTCATAACGAGCAGTAGAGCAACCTGACCTGGTTTATGAAGTGGAGCACCACTTCCTGGCCTGGAGATCACGAGAAGAAGACATGTTGTTGTTGTTGTTGTTGTTGTCGGTGGTTATCGTACAAATCTCCTAGCTGACGTCCCAACCTCCTATATAGAGTTAGAGGATATATATATATATATATTATTTATTATCACGTATCAATTAATATGAGTGGGTTCAGATAGCTTAGCTAAGATCGGGAGTTATAAAAAATATAAAACCAGGTGGCTGATCAGGCTGCGATAGAACGAGTTCTTTTTGTTCTTTCGCTTCTGCTTGGTCTCCTCGCTTTCCACCAGCACCGCGCCCTTCTTGTTGCCCACCCGATCTCCTGAGCCCAGCTTTTGCAAGGCCTCGGCAATGTGCTTGCTCATGCTCACCGGTCCGGTGTCGCTCGGCTCCTCAGGTCCCTCCTCGGAGGGGCTTGGCTTCGACTTCGTCTTTTGGCTGGGGGTGCTGGAGTTCTTGTCCTTAGCCGAAGTTGCTGTTGCGGTCTTGGCCTTGTCGGTCTTGTGCTTCGGAGCTTTAGAAGCCTTCTTAAGACAAGTCTTCTTCACCTTGGCCTTGCACTTGGGGGTCGGCTTTGGCGAGGCCTTCGCAGACCTTGCGGACGGAAGCCGATTGGCCCTCTCAAGCCTCTTGGGCTCACTGCTCTTGGCATCGAGCTTCGTTTTCGGCGGCGGGGTTTGCAGGATCTCTTCGGTCTTTCCAGGTTGCAGCTTCTTGGAAGATGCCGGGGAAGACTTGGCTCCTGATGTGGGTACCGCAGTAATATAGCAGCAGTAACAGCAGCAGCACAAGTGGTAGCAAAATAAGAGCAGAGGCAGCAGCAGCAGCAGGAGTAGAAGTAGTAGTAGTAGTAGTAGCAGTAGTAGTAGTAGTAGTAGTAGTAGTAGTAGCAGTAGTAGTATTAGTAGCAGTAGTAGTAGTAGTAGTAGTAGTAGTAGTAGTAGTGGTAGTAGTACTAGTAGTAGTAGCAGTAGTAGTAGTGGTAGTAATAGTAGTAGTAGTAGTAGTAGTAGTAGTA